AAAAAAATCTATTTAGCCCATAGCCGACTCGACACCAGCTGACAGATGATGTAATCAACGGCGCCGAGACACGATCGAGTAGTGTCCGAAAGTGGTGTTTCTATTCTGCTGCTGAGCTCACTATATAGTGCTCTGCTCTCTACCCCATATATAGGGGATAGGGAGTAGGGGTTTGAGTGGAGATTTCGGACACAGCAAGGGAGAATAAACAGAGAAGGGAATAGACGACAGGTGTGGCAAATAAACCAATAATCAGGTCAGAAGAAGAAGAAACACACATGACAAGCAGCCAATGAGAGCTTCACAGATATTCCTCACATCATCCTGTAAACATTTAACACACACACATCTGTCATGTTGAACGGTTCAAGCCTCCCTGTAGTCAACCAAAATTATATATTTAAAAGTTTTTTCCTTGTCTTAATGCCATAAAATTATCTCTACAACCTCGCCTCATTTAGTATGCGCGGTTCTATGAATATGCAAATGAGCCTCGCCTCCACTCACTCACTCACTGGTTGACGATCCACACGTTGATCTGATTGGTTAAAGGTGGTTTGTGACGTCAGCGATTTCAAAGCGTGTTTTTGAGGTTCACTGCAGTTTTAAGGAGGAAATACTCAGCAATGCTGTCCACTTATCAACGCACACACGGTGTGTGTGTTAAAGCGGATTAAAAATATCTTAATTTGTGTTATGAAAATGAATGATAGTTTGAAGGGTTTGGAACGACAGAGGCGAGTAGATGACAGAATGCAACTAACCCTTCAGATCAAAACTTTAATAGAAATAATTCAAAACAAGACCTGAAGGTGTATGCCTTATACATTCATGTACATGCAAATAAAACAATTTTCAGACATGATTTTTAATATAGTTCCAGTAGTGTGATCAGGACACTATAGTTCACTTCTGTGAGTGAGGAGAGCAAAATAAAGACATATTACACCCAATAACTCTTCATACAGAGACTACCGGTGACATTTACACACATCTGGGGCAAGAAATGATTCGGACTCGTGTTTTGCTGAAGTGTGTTTTCTGTAATTACACACACACTGAACAACATGAAGCATTGCTTGGTCACTGGTTGAGCTAAACTGGTATTATCTAATTGTGTAGTTCAATTGAACAGATATTCAACATAATTCATGTGTGAGAGTCCAACAGAAGGACAGAACCAGTCAAATATCCACTGATCTGAGACCTGAGTTCTGCTCAGGTTTATAAACTAGAGCCAATAAACTCAGATAATGTGAGAAATGCTGAAGGCGTCTGAATGTACATTTCAAACAAAAAAAAAAGATAAAGATCCATTAGCACATGGTGTAAACTATGACATCTCACATATCAAACATTGAGTCTTCTTATTAAAAGCCCTCTGATTTCTAACTTCAAAATCTAGAGTTCAGCTCATTTGAGTCACTAACCCCGTTTCAACCACAGTATGAAGGTAAGAGTGTGTGTGAGTGTGTGAGAGCGTGTGATGGAGGTGGGCGGCCCAGCTGGAGCGTTCTGAACCCGTGGGTGGATATGAAGGGATGATGGGCGGGGGTTTTCTGTGCAATTCATTTATTTGAAGCAATACCACCACACACTCTCTCATTCACTATAAAGCCTCACTCTTCTGACCAACTTCTAAGCAGAACAAAGGGAAATTTTAGATTTGTTTCGTTTCGATTTATATAAATTTGTTATCTTGTTGTGAAAAGCGTAGGAGAGGCCGAAACATTTGAGCATGTCTACATTTATACCCCCAAAATGGATCAAATCTATCAACCGATTCCATTCCACTGGGCGTACATTACAGCTCGGTCTGACTGCAAATCCTGTTCGTCTCTATTAGTGGGAATCCCCATTCCACTGCAAACATCACAGGACCAAAACACACACAAACTGCTGATAAAACAAGACGTCCAAAGTCACAACAGGCGTGTGTGTTGATGGATGATTAATCAATGAACTGAGACCATCTCAAGTACGGTTGAGAATCCTTTGAATTTTAGTGATTCCCAGTTTTGACTCCAATAAGGTAGAAAAAAATGTCAGAAATATCTGAATACCAAGAACAAAAGTCAACACGTGTGCCTATGGGTTTAACAAAAGCACAACAGCAAAACGGTTAGACTAACTAATGTACATTTCAAACATTATTTACGATAACGACACTGTCAGTAATAATAACATACGAACAAATAAAGAAATGAGCACAAATGAACCAAATTAAATAAAGTGTTTTAGCTATACTACAGAAATTGAAGTCAAATATAATTAAAAAAAAACTTGAGAATTGAAATTTCCTGATAGTTTACTCTCCTCCTCCAGGATTTCTCCATATAGTGTCTTCAATGGGGTCCAACGGGTCGAAGGTCAGACGTGAGTTTCAGTTTCAGCTTCAAAGTCTCGACACGATCCAGCCGAGGAATAAGAGTCTGATCTAGACAAACCAGCGACATTTACAACAAAACACACATTTATATACTTTATAACCACTAATGCTGGTCTTGCTCTCGCTGTGATGCGACACACATTACGCCATCAGGGTGAAAGGTCAAGCGGGACGTAGGCGTAAGAACAGACCCAGTGTTTACAGAGCGAACGTGCAAAGACTGAGTCAAATGCCATTTACAATAAAATAAATAAATAAAAGGTTAGTCGATTTTGAAGTTGGAGTAGAAAATGAGAATGCGTTTTTAGCCTTTTCCTACATTTCTGAACCGGAACGCTTGACCTTTCATCCTGATTGCGTAATGTGTGTATAAAAAGTATATAAATGTGTATTTTGTTGTAAATGTGCGCCGGTTTGTGTAGATCAGACTCTTATTCCTCGGCTGGATCGTGTCGAGACTTTGAAGCTGAAACTGAAACTCACATCTGACCTTCGACCCGTTGGACCCCATTGAAGTCACTATATGGAGAAACATCCTGGAGTGTGTTCCTCAAAAACCTTCATTTCTGTTCCACTGAAGAAATAAAGGCATGAACATCTTGGATGACGTGGAGGAGGAGAGTAGTTTTAATTCTGAAGTGAGCGACTCCTTCAAATGCACACGCAGGAATAGATAACGAAATCAAAGTCAAAGAATCCTCAAGCCTATCCTGTGACAGAAGAGGCCTTTCCCAGGTTGAAGTGTTTCCCTGAGCTGTTATCAGAGCAGATCCCACATATCTGGAAGAGGGAGAGCAATAACACAACACAGACTGCCACTTTCTCTTCAGCCAAACCGCACACACAGCATCAGGTCGTGAATAGACACAGATGTGCTGGGTTCCTCACTGCTATTGTCTGCTTATCTACTTCCCATCAGGAGAAACACACACCGCAGCCTCTGTTTTGGCTGTGGATTTCATTCATGCAACCCTCATCTCCTCCATCTATCTCCAGATGTTTTCCTCTAATGTCTCCTCCACTAATCTTTGATTACGACCTCCCGTGAGAGATTAAAGGGGACATATTACGCGTTATAATACATCTATAGTTTCCACAGAATGTGTGTGTGAAATTTCAGCTCAAAACACCAGATCATTTATTACAGCTTGTCAAAGTTGCCCCTTTTTGTGTGTGAGCAAAAACAGTGTTTTTGTGTGTGTGTCACTTTAAATGCAAATGAGCTTTAGCTCCGCCTCCATTCAGAAGAGGGCGGAGCCTTAACACGAGCATCAGAGACTCCGGCAAGAACAACACAAGCCAATCTCACTGATCCAGAACGTGCAGATTAAGGGCCGCTAATATTATAATAAGATCCTCTTCAGCGAAATCTGATCTGCTTATTGTTTGTTAGGAAGTTATTAGAGTGAAAACTTGCATGTTAGGGTTCCAAAACACAAGCTTTGAACTAATTTCGCATTATTATTATTATAATAATTATTTAGTTTTGCTTGTTTTAGTTGCAATACTGTCGGCGTTAAAAAATAAATAAATAAATAAAATAAATAAAAAGCTTATAGACAAAGTGCAATCGCAGAAAGCTACCACATTCGGTAAGACAAACGCAATGATCATCGTGATTATCTGTAAGAAATGTGGGCTATAACACTATCAAAAACAATAGCATAACAATACAGATCTGTATGTTACAGAATGAAATTTGCCAAATAACCTTATTGGTCAGCTGGAAGACGGCTCATGCTGTTTCACAAAGTCATCATAAATAGGTTTGTTTATGTGTTATTGTGTTATTTTAGTGTTTCACTACAATAATTAAAGCAGTGTTTCTGAACTAGCAATCTATTCAGCCAGTAGCCTATACAGTATTTGTGTTTGATCAGTGTGAATTACAGAAATATACGACTTTGCTAGACCTACTTTTATTCTATAGCCTATTTCTTTGCACAAAACTCTCCAGAAAGAACCATTTAATGGTTTATTTTTTTTTAAAAATTGAAACCCCCGGACCCCCCTTGAGAGACTTCCCCACACATAATTTAAAAAAATTAACCCGTGTATATATATATACGTATATATATATGAAGAGTTCAGATGCAAAAGCCTCTAAGTGCCATTTGAAATTTTCTTCTAAAATGATCATTTTTATTGAGCTTGTATATTTAAGTTCAGTAATTTCACTTAAATGGCAATGAAGATTACCTATTAATTGTTATTTAAGTGAAATTACTGAACTTAAATATACAAGTTTGATAAAAATGGTCATTTTAGAAGAAAAGTTCAAATGGCATTTAGAGGCTTTTGCATCTGAACTCTTCATACTATATATATATATGGCAAAAACCTTTAAAAAGGGACGCTGCTTCATGTCCATGTGGGTCCAATAGCCTAATCATTATTAGGCCTATAGCACAATTCTTTACACAACACCCCGGACCGCACTAATTTTCAGACCCTGGTTACGGCCTTGCTCACCAGAGCAGAGTTACTGGGTTTCACGTGTTTTCACGTGTTCTGTGTCGGTCGAAGCACCGGGACTTGATTATAGCACTTTCATACAGGTACAAACTCAGATGTTCATGATTTGTCCTCTTTAACTGTGAACACGGCTCACCTTCCGCACATATGCTGGTGGGAAACAGCTCCTTCAGGAGGTCTCCCAGTGTGAGAGCGTGTCCCTCGGCAGACACGGGCCGGAAGAGCTTCTGGATGAACGGCCGGTCACTCGTCGTCTACAGCGGGACAGAGAGCAACACTGTTAGTGTTTTTATCAGCTTGTAAATGTTTGAAATTATGTGTAAATATGTGTGAGTATTGTAATGTATGTTTGTTTAAATGTCCATTTTAATGTTGAAACCGTTTGGTGATCAAAGATGAGTTTTAAGGGATAAAACTATTGACTACAGGGGGATTTTAAAAGAAATGTTCTGTTGTCTAAATACATGTTAATGACGATCCTACTTTTTTCGACTAATCTACATTTCCTTCAGCCTGAGGCTTATTTATTTCACTTCTGGTGTGAAAGAGCATTTACATTGTAATTTATATATATATATATATATATATATATTAGTTTGTTGTGCATTACATTATTGTGTTACTTCCTAAAAAATAAGTAATTGTGATTGTGTTAATATAAATAAGTAATTGTAATTGTGTTTAAAAACTAAGTAATTGTGTGACTTAGCTACTGCTGGGTGCACAGGTAAGAAAAAGTAACAATAGTGATGTAACATCAATTTCCATAAAAAGTCACACAATTACTTATTTTTACAGAGTAACAATATTAATGTGTAACGCACAACAAACTCACATTAGATGCTTTTAACATTACATAAAGCACATAATCAGTGTTCATCATCGTCATACTTCGCATGTTGTAGTTTCAGCCGCGACGTCGCAGAAATAGAAACCGTCTCTAAAATAGAGTCGTCATCGTTGTGTCAATATTGAGGGCTAACGCCATAACTGATGTGTTAATATGTTGTCAGTGAGCGGCTGTGTTGAACCCACAGTAGTGTGTGTGTGATCTGTGAACAGCGGAACGAGATATTGAGTGTGTTAACAGCCGGCAGTCACGGCACAGGCTCTCCTTCGGCCTGGAGGTGTCGAATGCCGGACGGGATCCAGCTTTCACACACGTCTCGCATGTGGTCAGTGACCGAGGGTGTCATTCTGTAAGAGCTGGACAAACAATAGGACTCGATGTTGGTGCCGTGAAAAGCTGCGGTGACACGACACCCGCGGGTCTCGGAAGAGAAGGTGTCTCAGGATGATCCGCTCTCGATCGGGTTTCCAGAAAAACTGACTCACCGAGATCATCTGAGAGAGAGAGTGCGAGAAGTGACAGCTACTTCCATGCATTTTTAAACGGCGGGATTAATTATTGAGCGCGGCATTATCCGAAAGGCTCCTGATGCTGATGAGAAGTGTGATACTCTGGGTGCCGACACTTTCTTTTCAACTCCCCTGACACTCGACCTGGAAGAGCAACACATGAACCGTCACAAGCCTTTCTCTGAGCGCAGGACGGAGACGCGCTCGGGTCTCACACTGCATATCAGGATCACTATTATAGGATCTTTCAGGAATGATCAGAGCATGGTCAAAAAGTAAAAATAAATAAAATAAAAATAAAAACTTTTAACTATTAACTTTTTCATTCAACGGCCAAATTGGCTACTAAATTTTTAAGTTACCGGCCATTCAGAACTTCTACTAGCCAAAAAGAAGAACAAGAAAAAAAAAACAGCTTACCTACATCACATCTAATATCTATATACATTTTTTTATATAAATTTGAAATTCATACATTAATTTCTTATTCAAACAAAATCCTGTCATCCAGCATCTCCTTCTCTTCTTTTATCCTTCACCAAAAATGGCTGTTGAAAAATAATGTCTTTGAAAATTTGATTATTTTTTTTTTGTTATGATGCAAGTGTGAATAGTGTGTGAGATTAATACATTTTTCACGTTTATATTGGCCTTGATGCATTGGATATTGGATCTGATGCATCTATGAATGATTCGGGTGTGCGAGGCATCATATTTTATATAAAGTAATTATTTTGACAGCACGGTGTACACAAGGTTATTCCAGTATATATATATATATATATATATATATATATATATCTCGAGGAAAAGAGATGAGCGTTACTTCCTTTTCATGCCCACTTTTTAAAAGGCCAATGAACTAGTCAAGCAAAAAAAAAAAAAAAGTATATCAAAATATTTAAATTTTCATTCAAATATTCAAACAGTGAAACTAAATAATTAAATAAACATTCAATTGACTATCAATTATAATATTTAGACAAATATTTAAACTGTGGATTTAAAATATACCAACTGCCAATTTAAATATGTAAACAAATATTGAATTTGTCGATCGGGACATTCAAATATTCAAACTCAACATTCAAATATTCAAATCCAACATTCAAATATTCAAATCCAACATTCAAATCCAACATTCAAATATTCAAATCAAACATTCAAATCCAACATTCAAACATTCAAATCCAACATTCAAATATTCAAATCCAACATTCAAATCCAACATTCAAATATTCAAATCAAACATTCAAATCCAACATTCAAACATTCAAATCCAACATTCAAATATTCAAATCCAACATTCAAATCCAACATTCAAATATTCAAATCCAACATTCAAATCCAACATTCAAATATTCAAATCCAACATTAAAACAAGTACACACATTTATGAGTGAATTAAGTGAATAGCATTCTGGGAATGACTTGACAGCAACTTTTAACATTTGAGCAATATATGGCACCATCATAGAGTTGATATGAAATTATTGATATGAGTGGATGTTACAACTGCAGATATAAAGACACAGATAAAGCCTTGTCATCACATTTGTTGATGCGTCACACAAAAGCAATTCGGTAAATCAAAAGCTATTAAAATTGTCTCATTCTAACGATGCAGTAATAAACTTCAGAAATCTATTTACATAAAAAAAGATTGATATCACCACACCTTGTCTTATATCGCTGACATTAAAGGACAAAAAAACTAAAAGAGTAAAAACTCCTTTTATTTTCTCCATAGGGAAATAGATTTTTTAAAGGATAACTTATAAGCTTTTAAAGTCAGCCTGCGTTATTTCAACTTATTTTAAAAATAATCATGTTTAACAGATGAATTCCTGGAGAAAAATAGGGCTGGCCGATATGGCCAAAAATATTATCACCACTTTCTTTTTCCACATCATATGATATCGATAATTTTATTACAATATTACTTTGCCATTAAAGGGGAAGGAAATGCTTTCCACATATTTGTTAGACCTTAGAATTAATGCAAACATGCACATATGTTGGTTCACAAATAAACTCCACAGACTAGGGCTTTTCATTTAGGGCCCTATTAAATCAATTAGATTTTTTCATAAATTCTATTTCATTTGTTTTTAGGATTCAGGGTTTTATAATTTAATACAAATGTATATAAACTATAACAAAGTAGTAAAGCTTTTAAAATGTAATGAAGTGAAAATATAACAATTAATTTACAACAAAACATTGAATATTTATTTATTTTTTTCAAATAAAACGCTGCACAACAGAATTGTATACATTTAAAATATGGACACAAAAAAAAAAAATATTGCGTATGATGTTCCTTAGAAAAATTATTAAACAAACAATAAAACATGTCACTGTTAACACTTAATTTCTGACGGATGTTCATAATTTATTTTTATTTTTTTATATTATTATTATTAATACACTGAGAAGTACATTTTACGATCCAGGAGAGATGCATTTCCTGTCATAATTTCTTAAACTTAAACCGCACTTTTATTTTGACGGGTTGTCAGTTTCAGTGTGTATTTTATCAAATAAAACGGTGAAAAGTTCTCATATATTGAGATGCAGACGCTGAATATTATCAATAACTATTTAAAGACATATTGAGATATATTATTTTATCTCAATCTGATATTGTTTATCACCCAGCCCTAGTGAAGAACTACATTACCCATGATGCTGTTCAGAAAAGTACAGCGCTTTAGCTCCGCCCAATCCCATGAAACACTGCGCATGTAATTGTGTAATTTCCCAACACTCTGCACTATAGATGCATGCATGTTTTGCAATAAACTGAAAATATATAGTTTTATTAATATAATCAGCATTTTTTAGTGAGTAGTTTGCTCATGTGTCGCAGTGACTGCACGAAATGAATAAATGAAGAAGTACCTGATATATCCTGAAGGGAATATAGCGGAAGCCGCCGTCTTCGGTGGGATACTCCATGAGTTTACGGTTCATGGCCCAGAACTGGTCGAATTTATCTGATAAAAGAAACAAATCACTTTAATGACTGACAGTGAGTGGTGTTTGTTTAGTGCTGGACAAATGTCCGTCCGGCCAACACAAAGGGAACCCCAGCCTCAGCGTGGAGGTGAACGGGCCGCCTCCTGACGCCTCTCCATCCAGACGGAGACCGTTTGGGACAAAGTCAGAATTTTCATTTCTGGCTGAACTTATCATGATGTGATGAAGAGAGAAAAACAAAAGTGTGTGTGTGTGTGTGTGTGTGTGTGTATTCAGTCACGCTGGCAGCATTCTCACATGTGCAGGTGAAAATCAACATCTGCTTAGAAATTGTTACTTTCTCTGCTCTCTCTCTCTCACACACACACACACACACACACACAGGACAGCTGTGTGTGTTATCAAAACATCTCTGCATCTGAAACTCAGAGCTCTCAGTTTATCTGCAGAGCTTCACGTTTTCACCTTTAAATTAACAACTGAAACCAGAACACTAGCCTGAACCAAAGACTGGAAAGAAAAGATGGACGCCGCCCCTTCGCCACCAGTGTCCCCATATGGCGCTGACATCTCCAGACCTTTAAAGAGTAGTTCACTTTTCAAAAAACTTTTGCTGATATTTTACTCACCCCCGTGTCATCCAAGATGTCCATGTCTTTCTTTCCTCAGTCGAAAAGAAATTAAGGTTTTTGATGAAAACATTCCAGGATTTTTCTCCATATAATGGACTTCAATGGGGTCCAAACGGTTCAAGGTCCAAAAGACCGTTTCAGTGCAAACTGTTCAAAGGGCTTTAAACGACACCAGACGATGAATAAGGGTCTTATCAAGCGAAACGATCGCTCATTTCATAAATAAATAACAAAGTTTAAGTTTTATAAGCTCAAATGCTCGCCTTGCTCTGTTCTGTGTGACTCTCCTGTACGAACTCATTCATCAAAATGAACAAATCTTTTTACGAGTCATTTGGTTCATTCAACGAATGAAACAAACGAATTGACTCGAAAGAGATTCATTCATTTTGATGAACGAGTTCAAACAGGAGAGTCACACAGAACAGATCAAGGCGAGCATTTGAGCTTATAAAACTTAAACTTTGTAATTTATTTATTAAATGAGTGATCGTTTCGCTTGATAAGATCCTGGAATGTTTTCATCAAAAACCTTAATTTCTTTTCACTGTCAATCATGACGTCACACCACCGCGTCACATAACGGACTAAAAACAAACTTGGAAAACTTTGGAAAAACGATATGTAAAGTGTAATTTAATTATTTAGTTGGTCTTGCGGAATAACTCGTGTTTGACTATACCAGGACCGGCCACCGGGGGGCGATCGAGACTCTGGGTTTATGACTATACCAGGAGACTCTGGGTTCACTTCTCAGGGCCGTACACACAAGCTCAATCTGACACACACAGAAGTACAGAAAAACAGTCAAGAGAGTGTGTATGTGTGTGTGTGTGTGTACCGTTCTGCAGCCCCATCCACAGCTGCTTGTGGTCCTTCTTCTGCATGTCGTTGATGACCTGGCTCTTGTGTTTGAGAGCGTCGGCCTCTTTAATGCAGGACATGAAGTGAGCCTCGATCACAGAGTTGGATGTGCAGTGAAGCAGGTCGCGCTCGGGGAAGTTCTGCAGACGAAAGCACATCACCACAAAACAATATTACATCTCTAATTATTATTCCACAAATAAAATACTATTCGAATTTTCCACAGTTCTACTGAAATGCACTGGGTGGCGCTGTGGGGCGTTTAACAAGTGGACGGTATTTGATCACATGACGTCGGAAGTTTGGAATTACTGATATAAAAATTATATTACAAAATGGAATTACTTTTAATAAATGAATGAGTTATCATAATATCAGCAGCACATTGATGTCCACACACACACACACACACACAGCGGAGCGAGGAGAGTGTGATTTTGTTCTTTATATTTTTTGTTTACACACATTGTTAAATGTTTAAACTAAAAGAAAACCTTAAGGTATATAGTAAGCTTGCTTATATTGCCTAACGTAAGCTTGTTCAGAAATGATGACACAATTTAAATAAAATAATAATATCTTTCTCATTAAACAACATTTAAATACACAAATATTAGTACATTATTTTTGAAAAATGCCCATCCCTATTAATGAAATCATGAAGCGTTCACACACACCTTGAAGTGCACGGACACACTCCAGGGCAGAGCCGTGTTGGACGCGTGCAGGTCGAACAGCACACCGATGGGGTAGTGCCTGAACACAACACACACATCCGTTACACACTCAGACTCTCCTCCAAGAAGAAAGAAGAACATTTTCATCACATCTGCCCATCTCCCACAGTCAGTCGAGTCGAGTCTCCTTCATCTGTACGGCGCTTTAACACTAGAGTTTCACAGCAGATTTACAGTAATAACAGGAGATTACAGTACAGAGAGTGTTTAGGCTTTACAGCAGATCTAGAATAAAGGTAGTGTCCAGATAAAGTTGATCTTGATTGCAAAGAACATTAGTAATTCATTTAGGCGCTTATTTAATTTAATGTCATTTAATTTAGCTAAAAATAATTGTACTTTTTTAGCTTTTCCTCTGAAATACAGTTTATATATATATGAAGAGTTCAGATGCAAAAGCCTCTAAGTGCCATTTGAAATTTTCTTCTAGAATGATCATTTTTATCAAGCTTATATATTTAAGTTCAGTAATTTCACTTAAATGGAAATTAATAGGTAATCTTCATTGTCATTTAAGTGAAATTACTGAACTTAAATATATAAGCTTGATAAAAATGATCATTTTAGAAGAAAATTTCAAATGGCACTTTTGCATCTGAACTCTTCATATATATATATATATATTACATGTCCTGTATTGCTCAATCTCATATATTACCAGCAAATGGTGGTGAATGATGTTAAAAAAAAAAAATCTCAAATCGGCAAAAGTAAAATTGTTTCTGTTAGATTTTGCGATATGCAGGCCAGACAGAAACAAAAAAATTAAAATCAAACATCTATGTTGGAAAAAAGACACTGAATTACTTTGAACCGGGAGGATCTACATTATTTTTCTATGGTTATTATTTCTGAGATTTGTGTATATGTGCATGTGTTATTGTTGAATGGTCCTGTGGGTTGGTATGTGTGTGAATAGATGTTGGTTTATGCGTTGTATGGTTTTGATATGTATACAAAAAAGAAAGGAAAGCCCCAGTGTTCCTCAGGGCTCCTGCTGTCTGCCGCCCCCGTGTGGCGAGACACAGAAGTGCAGCGCTGACTCCGACATTACAGCTAGAACTGATGAACTCATTTGATGAACTACTGTTCTGCAACACATCTGAGATGAGCAAAAATAAATAACTCTTTTGAAAGGCAGATATGAACCGTGACCGGCGGAGGAAGACATGCTGGTAAACAGCACAACCGGTCAGGCTGGTTAAACAAGCTTTAACTAAACTGCATGAACACAATATACCTATTTATTAACCCTTTAAATCAATCATTTTTACATTTCTAAACATGATGAAACCCTGTCGCACTCGATCTCCTGACTGATGGTTTACACTCTTATATCCAGTGAGTCCTCCTTCATGGTCTTTACAGATTTTTATTAAGAAAACGTGAGAATAACTTTCTTATTGTTAGCAATATTTTCAAGATGAACACTTACTAGACTGAAGAAACTGAGGTTTACCTCATTATACAGATTTAATGTTATAGAATTAATGATTATCAAATATAGGCTTTTGTTCATCTCTGTGTTTTAAAGTCCCCCTGTGGTGAAAATTAAGCGTTTAATGTTGTTTATGTGTGTTATTAATAACACACACCGTGTGTGCGTTGATAAGTGGACAGCATTGCTGAGTATTTCCTCCTTAAAACTGCAGTGAACCAAAGACAGTCTCAAAAACACGCTTTGAAATCGCTGGTGTTTCTGACGTCACAAACCACCTTTAACCAATCAGATCAACGTGTGATCGTCAACCACTGAGTGATGAGGGGAGGCGGGGCTCATTTGCATATTCATAGAACCGCACATACTAAATGAGGCGAGGGTGTCGAGTTACATTCAAGATATTTTAGGACATGAAGAATATTTTTTCAAGGAAAATTTGTTAAATATGTAATATTGGTGATCAGGGATGAGTTAGGGATATACCGATTGACTTACTAAGACATATTATTAGCGGATATTGATATAATATCTGTTCGATGCGGTCATAAAGATCGCACTAATTTACATTACAAGCATCAGAACTTCATCTTCCTTTAGTCCATATAAATCTCAGCGTCTCTCGCTTCACATTTGTGGAGCTTTTAATACTGTAGTGTAAATGTACTGTACTTGTGAACATTTCATTGCCTTGGCATTATAATACTAATAAATCTGTGCCTTATAAAGTAACAAAAACAACAACACATTATTATTATTATTAATTATTATAATGCCAGCCGATAAGAAAACACTGTGATTATGGTCAATAGTACAGTAAGTTTGCCCTGTGGTGTTGACAGAGGTGATGAATATGCAGATATTGTTGACAACATGAACGCTCGTGAAGTGTGTGTCACCATTTGAGCGGCGTCCCCTCGTACTCGAACCACATCTCCTCCACGTCTTCCGCCTTCATGACTTTCAGGAAATGCTTCTTGACTTTATCCGTGACCAGCGGGAGGTAACTGACCCGCGGGAGCAGCAGCTGATTGGACACAACACAGGTCATGTGACACGATCCACAGCACACACACAAGCCTAATACACACACTTGCGGAAAACCTTTTCACAATATTGTCATTTTGAGTATGAGGTTTTAATATCTGTAAGCCATAATCATCAATATTATAACAAGGCTTGAAATATCTCACTTTGCATGTAATGAGTCTATATAATATATTAGTTTTACCTTTTAAGATGAATTATTTTGCAGGATATTCTAATTTGTCGAGTTTCACCTGTACTTCCTGTGTTAAAGTAGCCGTAAAGACGTGTGTGTAGAACTTCTGATTACTCCACACACCGCAAGTGTTTATTAACTATATTTTCAATACTTCGCATTTTAAAATAAACTTCTACATGTGTGTTCAGCAGTCGCTGTGTAACTAACAGAACACACAAATTAAAAATCGTAATTAAGTGATAAAAACAGTACAACACACACATATAATCATCAAATATAATTATCAAATTATATGCGTCTAATTAATTTAAATTACAGTGAATGTTTTTTCCTCGACATCTCGTGATTTCAGTTCGCGAGCAGAATGCATGATGGGATACGCTTAGCCTTGAACACCGAGATGGTGTAGGTCTAGTGTGCATTAAAAGGATTTTTAAGACACGGGACAGTCTGCGCACTTCCTGTCGTGTGCACGCGCCCTCAAGTGGCCAGGACCGGTGTGTGTGTGTGTGTGTGTGTGTTTGGACAAGATCTCCACTCACGTAGTAGGGCTCGGCCTCTCTCTCTGTGGTTTCCTCCGGAGAGAGAGTGAAGCAGGCCGGGATCCTCCCGAACCACACGTCCCGGAGCACATCCTTGTCATCCGCCATGGTCCTCGTTCTCCAGACGCCACATACACACTCCTCAGCGTCTGAGCTGCGACACACACGGACCAAAGGAAGTTTATCAGCTTATCCAGCAGACCCGGACGCTGAGACGTCCTGAAACACTCCGTTTCATATGCTGGCAAACTAAATAAAAGTACATTTTAGGGCTGTCAAAGTTGTTCATTAATTGTTCAACTGGCCGAGATCGCAATAGACGTGAAGGACTATAATGCGTTTAGAGCTCGCTTAAGTACTGGAGCTAAAGCATTCAGTGCTTTGTAAGTAATCAGCAATATTTTACATTTTATATGATGTTTAATAGGCAGCCTGATCTATATTAGGACTAATATGGTCATGGTCATACTTCCTGGTTCTGGTAAGGACTCGAGCGGCTGCGTTTTGGACTGGCTGGAGTTTGTTTATTAAGTGTGCAGGCCAACCACCCAGTAGAGCATTACAGTCATCTAGCCTTGAGCTCATGAACGCATCAACTAACTGTTCTGCATTTGTCAATGAGAACAAATGGCGTAATTCAGGCATATTTTTAAGATGGATGAATGCGTACAGATACTAGACACTAACCCACCCTAACCCTAACCCTAACCCTACACACACACACACATTCCTAATCGATGACAAAGACTTAACAGAGCAGCCATCAAGTGTTAGACAGTATTCTAGGTTACACGTGAGGACTTTTTTTGGCCCAATAAATAGCATTTAACTTGTTACTTGTTTTGTTCTGACAATATTTTACTTAAACTGACAATAATAAGAATTGCTTAATTTTGTAAACAGCATTTTGCCAATTCAGTGAAATCTGTGTAGATAATTATCTCTGTTTGATAGCAATTTATCAAACGTCAGCTTTCTGTCCATTACAACACACACGTGTGTGTGTGTGTGTGTGTGTGTGTGTGTGTGTGTTTACATCTCAGCAATGGCTGAAGAAATTGCATAAGAGGAAATAACCATCAGCTCTTATAAGTAAAAGATTAACGTCAGCTGTGCTGAGTCTGACATTGGCTACTGATAACATTTAACACTTTATGACAAACAGATGGATAACTAAAAACTTAATAAATAAAAGAACACACTGTAAAACAATATCAACAATATTTGTGATGTTTACTCGCCTGTTGTGAAGCTGAGTGACAGTTTGATGTAGTATCGTGTGTTAATAACGCTAGCACCGACAGGGCAACACAGCACCGGGGACACACCTTTACATCTGGTAACGATAGCGAAACTGCCTCGATTTCAGAAACAATTGCGAAAAAACATTCATGACAGCCCGAAAACAGAATAATAAAATACCTTCATTAGATGTCGACCGGAAGCGGTACAGTAGAGCTCATCTTCGACAAACATCCGGTGCGGACCTTCAAAATAAAAGTCCCCACGCAGCCTGTGTGTATTCAACGAGGTCCTATATACAGTAATTATTAGGATGATTGGTTGTTATTTATTTACAGTTGTCCTTGCATTCAGACAAGTTTTCTCACGCAACCTCTTTAAAAAAAAATCCAGAGCAAATGACCATTTGTATTTTTTGTTTTTTATTTTCTAAGTATGAGAAATCTGTCCGGATCCGGATGCTAAGTGATCGCTGATAACACGCTTCTCATGTTTTTCTCGAGGAGAGAGTGATTAAACTGGTCGTTTTAAACGTGCAATTGCTTAGCACGCACTGACGTTTTATATTTTATTTATAAAAAAGTCAAATAAATCAGAAAAATCTGACATAGTACATTACAGACACCTGTTAATTGTTTCGTTAAGAACTATTTTTAAAAGACATATTTAAAAACATTATTGAGAACTATGAATTAAGGATTGATTTTTGAAGATTCTTGTGTACATTCACTGCACATGTGTGGCACAAAAACACTTCAGTTGCTTAGCAGCTGAACAATAGTCTCAAAATCTGAATTCATTGCTTCTTTTTCCAGCATACCTTAACAAATTGAAGTTATGTTATGTTATAAATTCTATTAGTATTATTATCAGAGAGTATTATCATAAAGAGATCGTTCAGTCCGGTAGATGGCGCTAAATGAATGTAACGAGGACCACTCGCGCAGGCGCAGTAATGTCTATCGTCACTGCGCACGCGCACTGTGCACATGGAGGCAGTTGAATGAGTTGTTGTTGCTAATATCTGTTCGTTTTCTTCTGTTTAATAACAAGTTAGATATAAACTATTTCGCACTTCTTGTCCCTAGTGTGATATAGACCGACGGTGTGTTGATCTGCGGCTCGTCTGAAGCTCTGCTGGGAGTGTGTGATTGTTGGTCATCGGCTCTGCAGTGAAGAGAGTTGAGCAGATCTCTCTCTCTCTCTGTGTGTGTGTGTGTGTGTGTGTGTGTGTGTGATGGAGGCTCCTCCGGTCTCTGTGATGCCCGTCACGGGCGGAGCCATCAACATGATGGAGTATCTCCTGCAAGGTGAAGCTATATAACTTTTTGGTAACACTTTACGAATAAGGTCATTAGTTCATGTTTTCACTAACAATAAGCAAAATGTTAATGTTAGTTAATAATGCGTTTAAATAATGTTAGCCTTTAATCTTTAAAAAGGTGTTCATTGTTCGATTATTTGGATGAAGAATAGTTTTAAAGCATTTATTAATCTTAGTCTCAATACATTAGGAACAAATGACTAAAATCAGAAGTTTTATCAGTTAATATTATGTATTATCTGCTCGAATGAACAGCTTATTAACAAAGATTAATGAACTCTGATAAATGTATTTCTCATTGTTAGTTAATGCAGTAACTAACCTTAAAGGTGCAGTAAGCGATTTCTGAGAAACGCTGTTGTGTTGATATTTGGGGGGAAACAGTTATTTTTTACCAAAACGCGAAAAACACAGCATGACCAATAAACTCGAAACCTGTTTTGTTGTAAAATCCCCTAAAAATATGAAATATTAAATAAAAAAAACATCATAAAACTAAAATATACATCAAAGCTGCAGTCTGGTTTAAAGGTTTAAAGACAATCCACAGTGGAGACTCGCCCGCTGTAACACGCAGTAACGATCCTTGCGAAACAAAGATAATAGTGAAAGGTCAAAATTAGATCATATTCCAGTTTTAAATATGTGTTGTATTGTATATTCGAAGAGCACCACCAGTTCTAAGCAACAGTCATTTGTTGGTTTGACCATTAGGAATTAGACTGCACTACAGGTAACCCTAATACACTGTACATGTAGTCGCGCAATGCTGATCTAGAACATTAACAATTTGAGAACAAAGTATAATTTGACATGATATGATAGATGTAATCAGCGTGATTTACTGCGATGTTTTAGTTGGTCAGAAGAACAAAAGTGGATGTTTCTTGTTCAGACATTTTTCGGTGTAAACTCTTTTGTTGGTCATTCTTCCAAAAAGTATAATCTGTGATTCTGAATGCCAGTATCCACACCGACGGTGCCTGACACACACACTCTCTCCGCAAACAGTGTGTTCATCCGGCCTGTACCTGTTACCGGCAAAGTTAATAATTCTGTGAATGACTGCAATTGCAGATATCGACCAGAGATGGCGACAAAGAGGGAAAACTACAGACTGCAGCTTTAAAGGGTTAGTTCACCCAAAAATGAAAATTCTGTCAGTATTTACTCACCCTCATGTTGTTCCAACCCCGTAAGACCTTCGTTCATCTTCGCAACACAAATTAAGATATTTAAGATATTAAGATCGCTCCTGCATACTAGTCCATAGGCTTCTTGAGGGACTGGCTCTTGCTGTCCTCGAAAAGTCATTAAAGACATCGTTAAAATAGTCCAAGTGACTACAGGGGCTCAATCTTAACTTTATCAAACGACGAGAACACTTTTGTGCGCAAAAAAACAACAAAAATAACGACTTTATTTCAACTATTCGTTTATTTCTCCCTCTGCGCGAGTCAGGTTACTAGTTTAATAGCGTAAGCTTCTGTTATTGTACGTCACACGCATCACACACACATGACCAGCGTCGGCCAATAGTGAGCCTACGTGTGACGTAGCTCTACGCAATCACACTACGTTAACTGACTACAGGCCCATGGAGAAGGAAGAGATAGTTGAAATGAAGTCGTTATTTTTGTTGTTTTTTTGCGCACAAAAGTGTTCTCGTCGTTTGATAAAGTTAAGATTGAGCCCCTGTAGTCACTTGGACTATTTTAACGATGTCTTTAATGACTTTTCGATGCCAGCAAGAGTCATTCCCTCAAGAAGCCTATGGACTGTATGCAGGAGCGATCTTAATATCTTAAATATCTTAATTTGTGTTCCGAAGATGAACGAAGGTCTTACGGGGTTGGAACAACATGAGGGTGAGTAAATACTGACAGAATTTTCATTTTTGGGTGAACTAACCCTTTAATTTCATTGAAATAAAATAAAGTTAAAAACTGTTGTTTGTTATTTTGTAAAATCGCTTAAAAATACAGAATATTAAATAAAATAAAAAACATCGAACTAAAATATAGTACATTCATTAATTTAAAAACCAGTAATTTTTGACCAAACCGCGAAACCCTTGCGCTGCCCATCTCCTCACGCGTGGCCGTAGCGCTGACCCTGTCCCTGTTGTCCCGCACAGGCAGTGTCCTGGAGCAGTCTCTGGAGAGCCTCTTGCACCGGCTCCGGGGTCTGTGCGACAACATGGAGCCGGAGAGCTTCGCCGACCATGAGCTGGTGTATCTCCTGAAGGGCCAGCAGGGAAACCCGTTCCTCCTGCGGGCGCGGCGCTCGCTCCTGCACCCCGCCGCCCCGTGGCACCTGCGCTACCTGGGCCAGCCCGAGGTGGGCGACAAGAGCCGGCTGGCGCTGGTGAGGAACTGCGTGGACGTGTCCGCCTCGCACGGCCTGCCCGAGGTGCTCAACGAGATGGGCTTCCGCATGGACCACGAGTTCGTGGCCAAGGGCCAGCTGTTCCGCAAGGGGGCCATGAAGGTGGTGGTGAGCAAGCTGTCGCGCGTGCTGGTGCCGGGCAACACGGACAACACCGAGCCGCTGTCGCTGTCCTACCTGGTGGAGCTGAGCGTGTTGGCCCCCGCGGGGCAGGACACCGTCTCCGAGGACATGAGGAGCTTCGCCGAGCAGCTCAAGCCGCTGGTGCACCTGGAGAAGATCGACCCCAAACGCCTCATGTAGAGCGTCAGAACACACACACACACACTCACACACACACCTGGAGAAGATCGACCCCAAACGCCTCATGTAGAGCGTCAAAACACACACACACACACTCACACACACACACCTGGAGAAGATCGACCCCAAACGCCTCATGTAGAGCGTCAGAACACACACACACACACTCACACACACACCTGGAGAAGATCGACCCCAAACGCCTCATGTAGAGCTTCAGAACACACACACACACACTCACACACACACCTGGAGAAGATCGACCCCAAACGCCTCATGTAGAGCGTCAGACACACACACACACACCTGGAGAAGATCGACCCCAAACGCCTCATGTAGAACGTCAGAACACACACACACACACTCACACACACACCTGGAGAAGATCGACCCCAAACGCCTCATGTAGAGCTTCAGAACACACACACACTCACACACACACCTGGAGAAGATCGACCCCAAACGCCTCATATAATCTCCTCACACACACACACACACACACACACCTGCTGAGACTGCACTCCTCTATATTTGGCCCATAATGAACTGGATGATAAAAAATGGACTAATCAACCTTTCATTGGATTGTGTGTCATTTCTCAGACGACTTCATTTCTTAGATTTCTAATCTTAAACTAGACTGTTAGCACTCTTTAAAAAAAGTTTGTGAACTGATTCTTGTATTAAAAGTCAGTCTGACGTAAACACACACTGCTGTCTCTCATGTTCACCTGTGTTTCGTGTTGGAGTGTGTGAACAGCTCCTGTTATTCTCGGTAACACTTCACAATAAGATTCAAGATGTGTGTGTTATCTCAGAATAAACCCAACAGGGTGATCAGGATCAGGTCTCCATCAGCCTGAACACACACACACACACACACACACACACAAGGGGTTTATTCCGAGATCACACACACACTCATACACACTGACATAAAGGGTGTGTTGTAGAGGTCTGTAATGCCTGTGTTGAGCCTGATAATATCATGAGTGTGAGATCACAGTTATTCCTGCACTTCTGGCTGTAATGTGTGTGTTCTGTTGTGTAATGTGTGTGTTCTGTTGTGTAATGTGTGTGTGTTGTGCTGTGTAATGTGTGTGTTGGGTGGAGACAAAGAGCAGGCTTGTGTGGATGTTTTGAGGATTGCATTGTGGGTGATTGTGTCACTCCAGGAATGTAGTGGTTTCTGCCCTTCAATCCTTCTGTGTGTCGGATCCGTCACACACTCTTCCTCAGACAACAACACACAGAAGACAACTGGCTCACACATCGCATCTGTTTCTGCACAATGAACACATCTATCTGTTAAAGGGAATTATTTTGCCCTTAATATGTGCCTTCACATCCAAAATAGTCCAATTCATTTCATTTTAACTTGTGAAAATCATTTTTAAAAATCATATTCGTTTAGTAGATGCATGTAAGTGACTTCATTTATTGCGGGCTCTGTTTCCTTAAATAATCCGAGTCTCAATGAATCACACCGTGAGGATATAACATAACCACTAACAGAACAAGCCCCAGTCCGAGTGAACAAACAGCGGCTGTGGTGGATCTCTGAGGGATCGAGTCTGTCATTAGGGTTTGTGTTGTAATTAGTCGGCCTGGATCAGTGTCTGAAACTCTTCCTCGCGCATGCGCACTAGAGCACTGAGAATGAAATGTGAAGCGTCTGTTCATTCAATGATCGCACAGCAAACACATATCGCTCATAAACACGAACATCGGGAGACTCATGAAGACTCCCTCTGCCGTTTCACTGCAGTTTATGTCACATTATCCATGTTTATGGACATTATTCATCATAAGTTGTCCAGTTTTGTAAAGACGGTAATGATGAAACTGAAAGAGCCGTTCCGCGTCTTCTAGAAACGCAGTTCATCTTTTAAAAAAGCGTTTTCCCCATTGCGCTTTAATGCGTGAACCATGTGTGTTCAGGACATTTAATTTATTTTATTGTAGATTGAAATAGAGAGAGAGAGAGAGAGAGAGAGAGAGAGAGAGAGAGAGAGAGAGAGAGAGCGAGAGAGAGAGAGAGAGAGAGAGAGAGCGAGAGAGAGAGAGAGAGAATGTGTTTCAGGTTGTACTGTATTTGTGGAAAGTGTAATTATTTACACGATCATAACAGAATCGGTTACATTATGATAATATAATTAAATTAACATTAAAATAGCCTAAAATACAATATGTCGAGGACTTTTCCAAACAAGCACCACGACATCATGATGCAGTGTGTAGTTGTCAGTCTGTCATCTGTTGCTCCAGTTGTGCGATCAGCGGAGGAAGAGGAGGATGAAGATGAGTGACCCCGGCATGGAGACCGAAGACGAGCCGCTGTCTGAAGAATGCATTCATTACCCTGACTTCACCATGCGTCCTCCTCCTCTCTCCTGTGGAAGGTGGACTCAGTGAACACACACACACCTGACGCGGACTCAGGAGCGATGAAGATGATGAGGGTAGAGGAGGATGAAGCGCATCAGGTGGATGACATGGACGAGCTGAACGCGGATCTCTCCATATTCTCCGTGGATTCGGATGATGTTCCGCACAGGAGGAGGAAGAGGAGGATGAGGATGATGATGATGATGCGGGACGCCGGAGGATTTCAACGCAAAACCATCGCGCCGTCCTCGCGACGCAACGCCTGGGGAAACGCGTCGTACGCGGAGCTGATCACCCGCGCCATCGAGAGCGCGCCCGAGAAGAGGCTCACCCTGTCCCAGATCTACGACTGGATGGTCCGGTGTGTGCCGTACTTCAGCGATAAAGGAGACAGCAACAGCTCGGCGGGCTGGAAGGTACCGCGATCACACACACACACACGCGCGCGCGATTCATGCTCAAGTTACACAAGGGTGTGTAAAAATCACTGTTAACGCGTTTTCAACATTGAAAATAAAATGCAGTATACAGTAGCTATTCAACACACGTAGACTATATTAAATTAACTGGATGTGCGAGTGCGTGTGTGTGTGTGTGTGTGTGTGTGTGTAAAGGGTGCAGAGGTCAAATGAAAGAGTTGATTGTAGTCTTGGAGATTCATAGACAGATGCAGTCTTGTTCTGAAGCTCTGGTTATTTTATACAGAGGGGAAAAGTGCAGGCAGGAAAAACGTGGGAAAGAAAGGTTGCATGCTAAATGTATGAGGGATAGATCAGTAATATACAGAGTGTGTTTTACTGTAAGTGGCTGACTGGATGAGGAAGGAAATTGCTCATTCTTAATGTAATCATGTTTTATCAAATATTCCTCAGGTTCAATAAGCTGCAGTCAGTCTGATTCATTCCCAGCTCTCTATTCATTCTCTTGATTCATTCCCATCACTTGATTCATTCCCAACTCTCGATTCATTCTCTCGATTCATTCCCAGCTCTCGATTCATTCTCTTGATTCATTCCCATCTCTTGATTCATTCTCTTGATTCACTCCCAACTCTCGATTCATTCCCAACTCTTGATTCATTGTCTTGATTCATTCCCAACACTTGATTCATTCCCAGCTCTTGATTCATTCCCATCTCTTGATTCTTCCTCTTGATTCATTCCCATCTCTTGATTCTTCCTCTTGATTCATTCCCATCTTTTGATTTATTCTCTTGATTCATTTCCATCTCCTTCTTTGTAATTTCCTTCGCTGCAGATATGAATCTCACACTTGAACTTTAATGCACAGTTTTGCTGTACATGTCAGACTTCACTGAGTTGTGAATCATCTCTCCTGTTGTCTCAGACTGATCTGTGTTTTCTGATTTGATCGATGCACATCATCCTCAAGATTCAAGAGTCCAGCAGTCACAGAACAGTGTTTGTCATATCATTCAGTGATAAATAAGCTCTGCATAGTTTATTAATAGGTCAAATACAGGTGTTTTCTGCACACACAGTGTCTTTCAGGTCCGATCGACTTCATGTTTAATGGTCTTTAGCCAGTCTACTTCAAGCAGTTTGTTGAGTTACGGATGCCGATCTGAATGCTCAACTATGGTACCTACAGTGTGAGTTTAATGTTAGTGTTAGTTTGATGGCAGCATCACACACATGACCAGCGTCGGCCAATAGTGAGCCTGCGTGTGCTGCGCGGTTACACTACGAGAACTCACTCGAGGCCCACAGAGAAGGAGATGAAGAGTTGAATAAACTCATTATTTTCGTTGTTTTTTTTTTTGCACACAGAAAGTATTCTTGTCGCTTGATAATCTTAAGGTTGAGCCGCTGTAGTCACTCGGACTATTTTAACGATGTCTTTCATAACTTTTGAGAAGCCTATGGAGGAGTGATCCAGCTCTCAGATTTATCCCAAATATCTTCATTTGTGTCCTGAAGATGAACGACAGTCTTACTGGATTGAACAACATGAGGAGAGTACTGTAATTACTGACAGAGTTTATGGCACTTTGCCAATGTTTCATTCAACACACCTGAGTGGCGTACTGTTGCTATAGTTACCGCCTCACACACACACACACACACACACACACACACACACACAAGTCTGTTCACGAGGTTCTATTTTTAGAAATCAAATCTATGCTGTAAGTTAAAAACCTTGAAACATCCGTTCAACCATCCATTATCCAAACCTGCTGTAGTCAAGAAAACACTCTGATCATTTTATAGTTTATAATTATATGTATCTTTAAAACTTTTGTTTTCATTTAAAGGTTTAAGGAAGTCAGACCAGAGTCCCAAACCACACAGAAACAGATACTCAGATGATACACAGATGTTACACAGATGATACACAGATGTTACTCAGATGATACACAGATGTTACACAGATGATACACAGATGATACACAGATGTTACTCAGATGATACACAGATGTTACACAGATGATACACAGATGTTACTCAGATGTTACACAGATGATACACAGATGTTACATGTTACTCAGATGATACACAGATGATACTCAGATGATACACAGATGTTACACATATGTTACTCAGATGTTACACAGATGATACTCAGATGATACTCAGATGATACACAGATGTTACTCAGATGTTACTCAGATGTTACTCAGATGATACACAGATGATACACAGATGATACACAGATGTTACTCAGATGTTACTCAGATGATACACAGATGATACACAGATGATACACAGATGTTACTCAGATGTTACTCAGATGATACACAGATGATACTCAGATGTTACACAGATGTTACACAGATGATACACAGATGATACACAGATGTTACACAGATGATACACAGATGATACTCAGATGTTACACAGATGTTACACAGATGATACACAGATGATACACAGATGTTACTCAGATGTTACTCAGATGATACACAGATGATACTCAGATGTTACACAGATGTTACACAGATGATACACAGATGATACACAGATGTTACTCAGATGTTACTCAGATGATACACAGATGATACACAGATGTTACTCAGATGATACACAGATGTTACTCAGATGTTACTTAGATGATACACAGATGATACACAGATGTTACTCAGATGATACTCAAATGATACACAGATGATACTCAAGCTCATGACAGAAGAGCTGATTGTCAAAAACTGGCCATCTTTGATTGGCTCCCTGGATCCCATTCCCATGATGTCATCAGTATTGTGTGTGTGTGTGTGTGTTGAGAGTCAGAGACAGAGAGAGAGAGAAAAAGAGAGAGAGGGAGAGAGAGTAAACCGGTTCACACAGTATTTATGGAAAGTTACTTTAAAAGTATTGTTACAATATTGCGTTACTCCCCCAAAAAAGTCCCTAATTGAGTTACTCAGCTACTTTTTAATGGAATAGTAAAGCGTTACTTTTTCTCATTTCTAATATTCTGAGTTTGCATTTCAATGTTTTTATTCATTTTGAGGAATACTGAAACACTCACATTCAGTCTAGATCTACCATCACCATCATGTTGTCCACACAAACACACACAGTCACACACACACACACTCACGCACACTCATTTGCACAATCACTAACAAAAATTTGAAGAAACAAAATAATAGGTATGGACTATATAATGATGTGATGTACGGCAGGGAAGGGCTATATCCTCACGCTCCCCTCCACTGCAGCGCTGCTGTGGGCTGATGTTCAGTCTCCAGTGTGTGTGTGTGTGTGTGTGTGTGAGGTTGCACACACACCGGGGTTATCTGAGGTCATCAGTGTGACTGAAGCAGAGCTGATGTAGACTCTTCATGCAGGATCGTGTGTTTCTCGAGTCCATGTGATCGTAGAGTGTCGATCATAATGTGATGTGAAATCTAAACGTTTCCTCATTCTATAGGTGTGTGTGTGTGTGTGTGTGTGTGTGTTCACATTTGTGGTTCGTTTCTTCTTTTGGTCCCAGATTAAAAAAGTAAATGATGCATTAGTTCTCTGTTCGCTGTATGGTCTCATCTTGTGACATCACGTACTGTTCAGAGTCTCGTCTCGTGACATCACGTCCTGTTTCGGGTCGGTTTAGATGCTTTGGTTCGTGTTCTGCACCAGTGTTCATCTGGAAGTGGATTGAGAGCATCTTTTCAGGGTCTCGGTCCACTAGTTTGGTTCAGAAACTCAAGACTACAATGGAGGCGTTTCAGGAGATCAGGAACACTGACACTGATATAGAGAAGAACTGAAGCTTTCCATGATCACACAGCAACACACACACTGAAGACAGCAGAATAGTGCTCTATAAGAATAATAAAGTGGGTAATTATTGATTTTGCCACAGACCGTTTATGATACGACCCCTCGTGTTCGATAGCTTTGACTCGCGAGTCGACCCATTTTTGCCATTCTGACAATTTTGAACATTCTTTTTTGTAACGTTAGGAGTGCAATATACTGTAGAAAATGCTGTTCATTTTAGCCAATGTCATCAAGATTTTTTAATACAATAATCAGTGTGTACGTGGTGATTTGTGCTGTAGATGTTAGTGTGTGTGTTTTACCCCATTAAAGGTCTGGACTGGTGTCTGCGAGAGCTTTTAGCGCAGCCGTCTCAGCTGAAGTGCACATTAATATTTCAGCGTCTCAGAGATGAATGCGTCTCATTTGTTTCTCGTGTCTGAAAGCGTCTGCCAGTGCTCTCTCTCTCTCTCCTCCTTCACTCAGTTACGATCACACTCCACCTCAGAGACACGTAATTGAGGGCTTTTTGTGTTTTGGGGTGGGATGGGTGACTGTAATTTCCCAGTTTTCCTTCCACTAACATCAGGAAAGGCACATCTTGTATGATATACACTTTTTGATATACTTGGTCCATTGAAGGTTGTTTCCACAGGATAAACTATACAAAATTTCACAATTCTGAATTTAATTGTGAGGTACACTGCTTTTATTACTTAGATGCTTATATTACTTGTCTTGTTTCCAGTCCAAATATCTAAACATTCTGAAATCAAGAAGCTTTTACTAGATAAGTATAAAGTATGGTCTCGTTTTCTGAAAGGACAAATAAAAATGAAGTGAGTTTTTGCTTAAAACAATCATAATCATCTGCCATCGGGGTAAGAAAAATTATCTTGTTTTCCATTTAAATTAGATTATTTTTTTCACCCTGTTGGCAGATGATTATGATTGTTTTAAGCAAAAACTCACTTCATTTTTATTTGTCCTTTCAGAAAACGAGACCATACTTTATATTATCTAGTAAAAGCTTCTTGATTTAAGAATGAACACTTTTTTTTTCTTCTTCAGAAAACAAGATATGATATTTTATTTTACTTATCTAGTAAATAGTCCAAAAGATATTTGGACTGGAAACAAGACATTTTTTTTTTTTTTTTGCTTCACAAGATTTCTCCGCCTCAGACATC